CACTGTGTTCGAACCCGGAGTTCAACTTCGGTTCCAGGTGTCGAACTTGGAGTTCAACCCTAAGTTCTAGTGTTTATGGTTTTTGCCCCTCCCCCGAGCCCTCCCAAGTGTTCGAACCAGAGTTCCGGAACACTGCAAAAACCTATGCTCGAGGCGCTCTGGCGGCTCGACTTCTTGTTGGCACTCTCGAAGCCTGTAGAGAGAGAGAGTACAATGCGTCCACATCCAGAGTGACCAGATAAGAGTCCTCGGAGTTGAAGAGGGAAGAGGACGGGACACGCGGAGTTCTCTGCGCCTTCCGCTTGATACCCTTCTTCTTGCAGTTTTTGAGTTGTTATTGCATTCTTACGCATCTTGTGGTTCTTACTGGGACCGAGTGCAGCACTGCCATTGGCCAAGAGGATCGTGGAGCATCCACTCTTGCAGGATTGGCGGCCACACGACCAATACTAGGCGTGTGGGCGCCGAGGGTGCCAACCGCCACGAGTAGAGGTAACCAAGAGGTTGACCTCGAAGCAAGTGTGCTGAACTAACAAGACCAAGATTAAACGCGACCCCATTGATGACCTCCAAGCCCTCCGCCTGGTAGATCGTTCTGGCGCTCTTAAGCCGCGCCCCGGCGGCAGCCAAATTAGACATGTAGCTGAGGACACCGCGTGGGCCGGTAGCTTCAACCGGAGCAGCAGCCACTGCAATGTCGGTCTTCTCAGTTCCGCTACAGCCAATGCACGGAAGGACCCCGACGGGTTGTTGCTGGCTCACATCCACGCTATCCTTGTGGCACGGGGCATCAACCGAAGCTCCTTCAACATCTTGGACTGTCCCGGAGCTTCCAAGACGTTCTCCCTCTTCCTCGCAGTGCTCTGCATCGATGCTGTACTGGACTTCGCGGTGGTGTGGACATCTCAGCAGCATGCGGCACTGTTGGCCGTCTTGATGATATCACACAATGTGTTGATAGACGCGCCCAAGTGGCTGCGTCGCCTTCTGCTTGTCCGACGGGTTTCCGGCAAACAGGAGTTGTTTTCGCCAGTGCATGATCATGTGCTCCTTACACACGGTGTTGGGCGGAAAGGCAAAGGCAAGGGCAAGGGGTCGTCTGCGGACGAGGACCCACCTGAGGACCTGCTGCAACAGGAGGAGCTACTGCCTGGCTTGGGGATGACGACACCCTGCCGCCCTCCGTGGAGGAGGCACGCGTACTATTGGTCACGCAGGGCTCTGGGGCACAACAGTTGAATCGCCGATGGTCTGAGGTCCTGGAGGCGCTAACAAACTGCCGCACTCTTGTCATAGTTGAGAGACAGCAAGAGGGACACTCCAAAGCTGTTATAATGTCACCGAGGCGGCGGAGGATGTCTTGCTCATCCGCACAGGTGATCCAAAACAGCCCACTGGTGGAGGTGGCAACGAGACGCAGTTTGTTACGATTGATCGACTCTTGCGGAAGAACGTGAGCGTAAGAGGCGTGGCGCACTCTGGATTGCCATCGGTGCAGCCGCTCCAAATAGGGCCGGCAACGGGGCGCCTGGTGGAAACCACTAGACAGGGGCCCGTGCGTATAGGGGTATACCGCTCTTTGGCTGATTCTGTTCAGGGAGACGTTAAGGGGGGACGGAGGTGTGCCAACCAGTATTGAGTTGCGAGCGGAGTGGGCACGACGGCTATTTCTATCTTCCACGTCTCCAACTCAGGGCTCCTTGGTCAGAAATGCCCCAGAAGAAGGCTTTTGTGATGTGCTGTTGGACGGCGTGACTCAACGCGTCCTATACGCGGCCTTGCAACGTGGGCGGATCGCAGCGGGCCTTGCGACGGTGAAGGAAGACCTCGCTCGCGGCGCCCGCCAGACGCTGCCCGCAATAGGGGAGCCCCAGCCGCCCCATCCAGGCCTGCAGCACGTCCAGGTCTTCGTGGAAGGCGGAGGTGACGCAGTCCTCGCCGCCCCGCACTCTTAGTCGGAGGCACCACCGCTCGCTCATGCTTCGCGTGCCTTTGGGGCAGTGCCCCGCGGCCAGGAGCTCCCTCCGGGCTCCAGGTCTTCGGTGTAGAAATGGTCGCTGGCGACCTCGCCCTCCCACTCCGCCGTCCTCGGGCGTTTCGCTTGGCTTGCTCTCGCCCCCGGTATCTGGCCCGCTCCCCGATCGGCTCGCACTTCGCGACGGTGCGGGTGCATTTGTAGAAGAAGGCGTGGCCGTTCCAGCTCGTGAAGGCCACGGCCCGCTGCTCCTTGACGGAAGGCTCGTACTTGTCCAGCAGGCGGCCCTGGCAGTCCACGTAGAACATCGAGGCTTGGCGCCAGAGGCAGAAATCCCGGATCTTTTCGGGGGTGATGCCTTGCTCCCGCCACGTTTTTTGGGTGCAGATTGCGTCGAAGTTTGAAAGCACCTCCTGCAGCGGCAGCCGCATCAGCTCCGCGAGCTGCCGCGGGACGCAGAGCTTGTCCGGCCGTTGTTCGAAGGCGGACTCCAGGAGAGCCCCCAGAGCAGAGGCTGATCCAGGACGGTGTCCAGCACCACCTGGTCGTCCACGACCTGCATGGCCTGCTGGCTGAAGGTCCACTCCCTCGTCGCGTCCAGGTAGTAGGTCTCGTCGGACAGCTCCAGGATGATGTCGTTCGGCTCGGCATTCCCGAGCTGCGCGAGCACGGACGCTTGCAGGCTCCGGGCTGTCTGAGAGCCCTTCGCTCTGCCGGGACAACGTTGCATGAGGTCGGTGACGGGCAGACGCTTGGTGCGCTCGTAGGGCATGCCGCGGTTCAGGCCGTTTCGCCGGATGCCGCGAATGATGACGGGCACGTGCACCACCCAGTTTACCCACTTGTCCTTGAAGAAGCTCTTCCCGAGCTTGGTCAAGTGGTAGTTCCCGTTGGGTTGGAGGCTGCGGAGCAGCTGTTTGGCGCCCCCCCGGAGCATGATGTAATCGTTGGGCCCCTCGCGGAGTTGGTTGCGGTCGTACTGCCGGCTGGGGGGCGGCCGGCCGATCAGTTGGTAGTAGTACTGGCCGGCCCTCGTCAGCTCGCCGTTGGGGCGGCTGAGCATCGCGTAGCGGAGGTGGTGGTGTCTCAAAGGAAGGGTTTCTGAGCCTGCCGCCGAGGTCCTCGCGGCCTCGGCTGCAAGTTTGATGGCTTGTCGTTACTGAGCCCAGTTCATGACTTTTGAACCACCCGCCCGGAAAAAAGGTCGGCCCCCTTCGCCGGTCGAGTCCTGTTGTACAGTTTTTGGCTCAAGCCCTCCCCGTTGTACAGCGGCTTGTACAGTTTTTGGCTCAAGTCCTCGTGTACAGCTTCGGCTCAAGCCCTCCCTAAACCCTATACTCCCTAACCCCTAAACCCTATATACGGCAGTTTTTCCGCTTTGATTTTGGCAGGGATTTTTCTACATGCTTTGCTGGACAGCCTTGATTAGTCACTGCTCTGCGGCGAGCAGGCCTAGTTCACTGCTCTGTGGCGAGCAGGCCTAAACAAACATTCCCCTTAAACCTTGCCCTAAACCCTAAAAACTCTGGCTTGCTTGATTTTCGCATGTTTTTGGCATGTTGGACTTCAGACTGCTTGAGCCGCGCTCGCTTCCTCAAAGCGTCAATATAGCAGCAGGCAACAGCAGGCTTTGCATGGCCGACGATGCATCTTTCAAGTCGGACACTTACAGCAGAGAGGCAACTACCACATGTTAGGAAGGCAGCAAGCACACACACACACACACACACAGCCCTGACACCGGGGGGGGAAGTGACGCCGGGCGCCACAGAGGTTCAGGGTTCAGGTTGGTAGGCAAGGGGCTCCGAGGCAGCGAGGTCTGGTGTCAGGAGTGCCCCGCGCTGTCTTCCACCCTTGAACCCTAAACCCGACCGTCCCCCTTCCTGTAACTCTAGAGTACCCTGTGTCCCCTCTCGCCGCTCAGGTTCCTCTTCGACGTCTTCGCTGCGAGTCGGACGCCGCAGAGGTTCAGGGTTTAGGTTGGAAGGCAGGGATTCTGAGGCAGCGAGGTAGTGTGCTCCCAGGAGTGCCTTGTGCTGCCCTTCCTCCCCCCCCGGTAGCTCTAGAGTGCCCTGCCTCTCCCCCGCCCCCTCCCGGGAACCCCAGGCCCTTTTCTTGCTTTCAGGTCACCCGTGGTTTTCACCTGCTTCTTCGACGCCGTCGTGGTAGACGAGGCCGCGGCAGTTTTGGCTTTTGGACCGAAGGGGTGGCTTTTTTGGGGTTCGCGGTCTGGGAGGGCGTGACTTTTGGGTTTTGGGGCTTAAAGAGAGATACTAGAAGGATTACTCTATCAGCTGTGCTTCCTAGGGCCACTCTACACAGGGTGCTATCAGTTAAGCAGTTAAGGGGGCGCTAAGCAAGGTCCAGTGGCATGCTGGCTGAATCCGGATTCTAACCTTAAACTGACTTCAGTTTATGCTCTTACTGGTACTAAATGCTAAGTTGCGCTAAATGCAAATTCTCTAAATGCTACATGCTATGTTAAGACTAGCACGAATGTTAGTACGCATCCCCCATCAAAATCGCAATCCCAATTCCGATTCCCGGAGCATGCGCTAGCCCGGAAGAAGCTTTCAAGTGCCAAGCAAGCCGTTTAGGGTTTGGGTTTAGGGGTTTGAGTTTAGAGAAAACCCCCTAAACCCCAATGCAAGCTGCTGAACTTTAGATCCTAAATCCTAAATCCTAAACCCCTGAATCCTAATGAATGAACACTCCGAAGCCTCCAGAAGGCAGTCGATCCGGTTTCGACGCATTTCGGGCGCCGTGGCCTGAGCTACAGTGGCAGGTGCCTTCCGTGTTTTGTGGCAGTTCGTTACTGGTAGATGGTGTCATCGTTTTCTGCTGAAAGCTCTAGCCTCATGCCTTCGGTTTTTCGCGGCAGGTCGTTGGTAGTGGTAGGTGGTGTCATCTTCGTTGTCTGCCGGATGCTCTAGCTTTATGTCCCGCAGAGCTGTATGCCTTGTGCTCCAGCGACTCAGCGTTTTCTGGTGTATTTACCAAGTCCCATACGTAGGATCCTTGCCCAATGCTGCGCCTGGTGGGCTTCCTTTTGATCGCCCTTGCAGCCGGGCTCCGGTCCAAGAGCGACCCGTCCTGGCCCTGGGAGGAGCACGGCCCGAGCTCTGCCGAAGAGCTTCAGGAGCTCCTGAGCACCGTGCTGGCGCAGACCAGCGCAGCTGAGGTCACGGTGGAAGAGCCCGGAGATGTAGAGGCACGGGAGCGGACGCTTCGAGAGCGGATTGCCACCATCACGAAGGACTGGCAGAGCGCCAGCGCACCTGCTTGCCATCAGCAGCTCGGGCGGTTGATGAACAGCCTCACGCTTAAATGTGACGGCTTACAGCCGAAAGCCGACTGGCTGCTTGACTACTACGTGCCGACCCTTCCGAGCAAAACGTGCGCCGACAGTGTCAGCGACATCTTCGCGTTGGGAAACGAATTGGTGGAAACCCTCCGCGTCTCCAGAGATTCTGTTGCTTCCGTGGATGTGGCCGGTGAAACGCTCCGTCGATATCAAGCACTCTCCTTTCTGAGGAGCTGGCTAGTGGACCTGACCCGGACTCATCATCATGCGCTGCTTTGGGCTGGCTTCTGGGATGGGGACCCCGAGAACCGCACGACCATGACGAAGCTCTCCAACTTTGCCAAAGCCATCGAGCACGCGACCGTGCACCCGAACACCTTCCTGGGCCGAGCCATCGAGGCGAGCGAGAACCTCGACGCCTGCTACGAAGATGCCCTGACCAGAGCGCTTGCAGGGAACATGTGGTCCATCGCAAGCATGAGCTTCGTGCTCGGGATGCGCGAAAGGGCACAGGGAACGGTGATTGCATTGGTCAACAAGCAGATCACGGGTGAGCGTAACTTGTCGCAGTCCGTGCTGTCCACGCATGAAATCCCCACAGTGGGGCTCGCAGCCTGGGGCCTCGGGTTCTGGGCCCCGAAAGTGCTGGTCGTGGACCTCATGGGCACATGCGACAAAACGAGCCCAGCGCTGCAGAAGCGGCTCCTCGCCCGCCTGCCGTCTTGGGCCAAGTCCATGACGGACTGGAGCCCAGAAGCCTTCGCGACGAGGTCTCGGCTCCAGTGGCAGTGCATCGACTGCTCGGGCGCTTGCAGCCTGGACGAGGCCATGGCAGAGCACGTGGAGAAGCTGGTCGAGGCCCCCCCCGCAAAAGGGACCCTTTGTCAACGAGGTTTGTCGTCTTAAGTTAGAATTTCACAGCGCAGGCCAAGGAGAAGCAGGACTGGAAGGACCAAGAGCTCCGCCAGGTGCGGAGTTTTCTGAGGGTGCCTCTTGGCTTCAAGGCTTATTAAGGGATTTGTGGGTTCTTGGAGGTTCATGGGTAAAGTAAAGCAGGATTGTAAGTCCCGTCAAGGCTGGTCGCTTCGCTTCGCTTTCACGCTCCCTGCCAGGTCGTGAGTCCACACCTCGCAGCCCGGGCCGCTATTGGAGTCAGCCAAGAAGAGCTGGGCCTCGCCGACAAGCTCTTGAGGTCGAGTGACAAATTCGCTTCCGTTTCCGTATCCGACAACGCTATGATCAAGTTCAAGCTTTACAAGCATGGATTGAACCTGAAAGCGAAGCAGGAGGACCTTGTTCGGAAGGCATTTTTTAAGGCTTGGGGAGAGGAAGACCCCAGCCCGCATCTTCGGGTGGAGCAACTTCTTCACCAGAATGCGGATCCAAGCTCACCAGACCGGCTCGGCCGCACAGCCCTCATGGAAGCTGCTTTCAGTGGCCACCTGAAGGTGGTCGAGGCATTGCTGAAAGCCGGAGCCCAGCTCGAGGCTCGCGAGGAGTTAGGCCGCACAGCCCTCACCATTGCTGCAACGAGCGGCCACCTGAACGTGGTCCGGGCGTTGGTGCTGGACGGAGCAGAGCCGGAGGCCTGCAATCCAAGTTGCTTCATGTCTGTTGCAAAGGCAGGCCACCTGAACGTGGCCGAGGTGTTGCTGAAGGTCGGAGTTCCGCTGGAAGGTCGAGATGAAAGAGGGCGCACGGCCCTCGTCTCTGCTGCCACGCAGGGCCTCGTGAACGTGGTCGATTTTCTGGTGAGGGCCGGAGCGCAGCTGGAGGCCCGCGATCAGCATGGCGACACAGCCCTCGTGTTGGCTGCAAGCAATGGCGATTTGGAGGTACTTGAGGTCTTGATAAGGGCCGGAGCCCAGCTGGAGGCTTCTTGTAGGCATGGAACAGCTCTCACTGTCGCCGCAGAACATGGCCGTTTGAGGGTGGTCGAGTCGTTGCTGAAGGCCAGAGCCCTGCCGGAGGCCCCTAGTCAAAATGGCCTGACAGCGCTCACAGTCGCTGCAGAGCACGGCCACCTGAAGATTGTCGAGGCGTTGCTGGAGGCCGGAGCCCAGCTGGAGGCCCAGGATAAGGAAGGCAACACGGCCCTCATCTGGGCTGCACGCGAGAAGCACCAGGAGGTGGTCCAGGCCTTGCTAGAGGCCAGAGCCCAGACTGAGGCCCGCAATGCGGATGGCTTCACAGCCCTCACTTGGGCTGTGGTTGAAGGCCAGTTGCAGGTGGTCGAGGCCTTGCTGCAGGCAGGAGCCCATGCAGAGCCCCTTCATAAGAAGTTGGCAGATCATCAGCACCTGCAGCTTGCGGACATCCTGTGAACATCGCGGCCCAGAGAGTATTTTTGTTCCGAGCGCAAGGGCATTGTATTTGTCGGAACTGACACATACTGACACCAAAACCCTAAACCGCAAGCCCTGGTGCATAGTGGCATGTTGGTCGGAACTGACACCAAGCCGTAAGCCACCGGAACGGAACATATCGGTGCGCATGCTGTTGTTTTGTGGAGATTGGTTCCCAGCTGAAGAAAGGCAAAGGTTCAGGGTTCCAAAGGGTTGTGCAAGGTTCCTGTATAAGGGTTACAATAAGGGTTCCTCTATATCAGCTACCTTAAGGGTTTCGATAAGGGTTACGTTAAGGGTTATGCGCGGCTTGCCTCAAGCAGTTTGGGGAGCTCTAAACGCCGCCTTGACTTTAGCGTGGAACCCGGAAGAGCAAAATCGCAATGTTTACAAGCCTGCTTATGGCCCGACAATCCTGAGGACAAGCCGCAAAACTTGTCAAGGTCCTCAAGCTTAGACCTAAAACTTCAGACCGTAAACCGTGACATCCAGAACTTGGCACGCACACAACCCGCAAAAGCCCATGTGAGTGTACACATCTTTAAAGAGAGAAAAAACCGCAAGAAGAGAAAAACCCGCAAACACCCAACCGTGAATGAAGCTTAACGACAAAAGGAAGTTTCCATCTGGAGCCCAGATTCCGAAGAACATAAACACCTCACCCCACGCCCCGGACCCTAAGTGTCTAGACCCTAAAGATCAAAAGTGAAACGCCAAAGAGGCTCCAAATTCTAAGGAATTACTACAAAGCCTTGTAAAACATTTACAAAAGCCTGTTAAACCCTAAACCCTAACCCTATGTAAAGGCCTCTGAAAGTGTTCCAACGACCTGACCCCGAGGATGCCCCGCTCGGGCTGGAGGAAGTGGCGCCCTGACACCCAGCGAGGCTTCTTGGGCCTTGGATTTTTTAGGGTTTAGGGTTTAGGGTTTGGGGGTTTAGGGTTTGGGACTTCAAGGCTTTGGGTTTGAGGGCTGTGGTTAGGGTTTCAGGGTTTGGGGTTTGGGGGCTTGGGCGTTTAGGGTTAGAAGGCTTGTTGTGTGCTATCTGGACTTTCGTTAAGGGTTTTACAAAGTAAAAGGATGTTATGCACGGGTTGTTAAAGCTTGGGAGTTGGTTTGTGTGGGTTTGGGACTTTCCGGCTTTGAGTTTTAGGCCTGTGGTTAGGGTTTGGGGTTCTGCGTTTAGGCAGGCATTGCTAAAGGTAATGCTTTTGATTTGCGGGAGAAGTGGTGGCCCGAAGCCTGGACCTGGACGAAAACCATCGAACACTCAAAATCCCTATGCTTCAACCCCAAAACGTAGAGTCTACGCGTCGATGGAAGCGATGTCAGAAGCCCACATGCTACGCATGCAACTTCGATAACCACAACACTTACTCTTCTTATTGTATCAAGTATATATATATATATATATCTATATATATATATATATGTATATATATGTATATGTATACATATATATATATACATACATATACATATACATATACACATATATATATATATGTATATGTATACGTATATGTATATGTATATGTATATGTATATGTATATGTATATGTATATGTATATGTATATGTATATGTATATATATATATGTACATGTATATGTATATGTATATGTATATGTGTGTGTGTGTATATATATATATATATGTTAAATTCTATGCCAGACTGCGACCCGGGCCTCAAAGTAAGGGGTTACTGTAAGGAGAATCTCCTTTCGACGCCGTTTGTGAGGGGAGTGGGTTCAGAGGTTTCTTCCAACTTAGGTTTCCAGGGGTAGGTAGGCTTTCAGCGAGGTGGATGCTTCGAATCTGGATGGCTTCCTGCCAGTTGCTACTTCCAGATCCAAGTCCAACCGGGGCCGCGGGTAAGGCACTATTCGCACAAGTTTACCGGGAACCAGGGGTAGTGTTTCTCCTGTTGGCTCCTGGGTCAAAGCTTTTGCAGCGGCATTTCAGGTTGGCCTTGCATTTCGTGGCGCTTTGCATGTCAGCAAAGCACTTGGTTTGTTGAGCGCTTGGCCGCTTGGCCGCATGCGCAGAATCCGGCGGAAGGAGCGGATCCCCAAATCCAAATCCCTCGACAGAAAGCAGGAAGGTCCCAAATCCCTAAACCCTATAAAACCCCCACACAGCTGTCCGAACTCGCAGTTCCAGAGTGCAGGCTGCCGCTCGCCCTGGGAAGAGGCTTCCTTCCCGGGAGAGTTCTCAACCACGCGTGTGGAATAATTTAAAATGTAGGCCCCAAAACACCCTATGAGAACCCTAAGCGGGAGCTTCCGCAAATAGGGGACCCTAATACAGTACCCTAAAGAGTAGGATCCTTATTGCAAGGACCCCAAAATAAGGTACCCCTCACTTTCGGAAACTCCCATATAAGACCCCATAGAAAACCCACTAGGACCCGAAGCCTCCGAAGGTTTAGATTCCCGACCCGGCGCAGCGGAATCCGTTCCAGATCCACGTGCCAACCTCGTGATTCGAGTTCACCAATGTTCATTATGTTGGTTGTTTCTTCTTTTTGAAGGGTTCTCTAAGGGCGTTTTGCAAGAGTTCTGTGAGGGTTGAGAAGGATTGCTAGGAGGGTTTTCATAGCCTCCTTTCGTGATTTTCCTGCTCTAAGCCGAAAGCCCTAAATCCCAAACCCTAAACCCTCGAAGTTTTGAAGTACTGGGTTGGGGTTGCCGTGTTGCAGCCCTCAGGGCTGAAGGTTTCGGGCTTTATGGCTTTAGGGTTTAGGGTTTGAGCGCGTCGGGTTTACGTTTGTTTGGGGTTCCGGTTTTTGGGGCTTTGAGGGAACCCTAAAAGCCACCGGCTTTTGGAGTCTTTAGGTGGCCTTCGAGCTTTTTTGAAAGCCTTCGAGAAGCCCTAGACCCTAAACGCTAAACCGCAAACCCTAAACCCTGAACCCACCAAGACGCCGCCAAAGCCTGGATGCTGACCCAGTCGCAGGACACACCTTACTTGCAGGTTCATGGGTGGTTATAAAGGGGGTTCTAAGTCCCCTAATAGGGGTTATAAGTTATAACCATATAGGTACCCGAATTATAACCGCACGTCTAACTACCCATGAACCTCCAACTAGGTTTCTCACAAACCTCTTGAAGAATCCGTCCCTAAGCTCGAAACCCTACACCTTGCACTCCAACTAAGCAGAGAGGCACATTTTCGTGCCTGGTTATTGTTGCGACTATAGTAGCCATGATGGCAGCGACTGCTCGTGCTGATGATGATGATGATGATGATGATGATGATGTTGATGATGGTGATGGTGTGGATGTGATGCTGATGGTGTCGAGAACGGTGATGCTAATGATGGTGCTGCCGCGACAGGTGACATTGCTTGTGATGACACGCTTGATGGCGATGATAGCGATGGAGCTGGTACTTGCAGGATTACAGTGCCCCCAGCTTTTTCCGAGGTACGGGACTGACACCTAAACCCCAAACCCCTGAACCCTAAACCGTTAAGCCCTTGAACCCTAAACCCTAAACCCCAAACTCCCAAACCCCAAACCCCTAAACCCTCAAACCCCTAAACCCCTAAACCCCTAAACCCCTAAACCCTAAACCCTCAAACCCCCAAACCCCTAAACCCTTTTGGTTTCCGAGGTTTGGTGGGGCCCGCTTGGCCATGTGCTGAATGCGGTGGCGCCTTTCAGGCCCGGCCGAGGGAGGGTTTAGGGGTTTGGGGGTTTAGGGCTTTGAGGGTTTAGGGTTTAGGGGTTCAGGGGTTTAGGGCTTTGAGGGTTTAGGGTTTAGGGGTTTAGGGGTTTAGGGGTTTGAGGGTTTAGGGTTTAGGGTTTTAGGGGTTTGAGGGTTTAGGGTTTAGGGGTTTAGGGGTTTAGGGCTTTGAGGGTTTAGGGTTTAGGGGTTTGAGGGTCCAGGGTTTAGGGGTTTAGCGGTTGAAAGGTAAGGGTCTAGGGATGTACAGGGTTTGGGGGTTCAGGCAGGGCTTAAAATTAGGGGTTAGTGGTCTACTGACTATCTTCGGAAGCTCGAGCAGACTCGACCCAATGATCATAAAGTCTTCGGGCTTCCTCGCACGTTGCATGGGCCACCGGCGGTTCCTAGATGCAGTGGACGGAGACGGACATCTCACCAGAGTATTTCAATGGCGGTTGCTTCAGTTAGTTGCAAAGGCAGGTCCCTTCCCTTCCCACTGTTATTCGTTGTTAGATGATGTCCTCCGGATTTTCTGCCGGATGCTCCAGCTGCATGCCTTAAGGAGCCGCTGGCATTGCTCTCGAGCAACTCTCCGCTTGGTGTATCCAAAGTTCCATATACTGCTCCACATAGGACCATGGCGTGATGCTGCGCTTCACCTCGATGGCGCTCGCGGCCTTTGCAGCCACACTCTATGTCGCTGTGGGGCTCAGGTCGGAGCACCATCCGGCATTGTGGCACGAGCACCCCGCGAGCTCGGCAGAGAAGATTCAGGAGCTCCTGAGAACAGGGCTGGCGCAGACCACCGCGGCTCAGGCCACCAGGGAAGAGCCCGGCGATGCCGAGGCACAGGAAAGGACGCTCAGAGAGCTGGTTTCCACCATCAGGCAGGATTGGCGGGCTGCCAGCGCAAGTGTTTGCCATCAGCAGCTCGGGCGGCTGGTGAACAATCTCACGCTTGCATGCGAAGGCTTGCCGGCGAAAGCCGACCTGCTTCTCGACTACCTTCCGGACTCTTACATCCTCCCGAACAAGACCTGTGCGGAGAGCGTCAGCGACATCTTCGCGTCGGGGAGCGATCTCGTGGAGACGCTTCGCGTTTCCAGAGATGCTGTAGCCTCTCTCCATGTGGACCACGAGCAACTCCGTCGATACCAAGCACTCTCCTTTGTGAGGAGCTATCTGGTGAATTTGACCGAGACTCGCCATCATGCGCTACTTTGGGCCGGTTTTTGGGACGAGGACCCCGAGAACCGCACGACCAAGACGACGCTTTCCAACTTTGCCAAAGCAACAGAGCACGCGACCATCCACCCAGACAGCTTCTTGGGCCAAGCCATCGAGGCGAGCGAGAACCTGGACGCCTGCTACACGGACCCCCAGACCGGTGCGCTTGCACGGAACATGTGGGCCATCGCAAGCATGAGCTTCGTGCTCGGGATGCGCGAAGGGGCACAGGGAACGGTCATCGCATTGGTCAACAAGCAGATCACGGGCGAGCGCAACTTGTCAGAGTCCGTGCTGTCCACACATGAAATCCCAACAGTGGGGCTCGCCGCCTGGGGCCTCGGGTTCTGATCTCCGGAAGTGCTGGTCGTGGACCTCATGGGCACCTGTGACCAGACAAGCCCTGCGCTGCAGAAGCGGCTCCTCGCCCGCCTTCCCTCCTGGGCCAAGTCCATGACGAACTGGAGCCCAGAAGCCTTCGCGATGAGGTCGCGGCTCCGGTGGCAGTGCATCGACTGCTCGGGCGCTTGCAGCCTAGACGATGCCTTCGCAAGGCACGTGGAGAAGGTGGTGAAGGCCTCTCTTTCATAGATGAGGTGTGCAGTTGTTTCGTAATGTAATATTGTGGCCAACATTATTCATCCAGAACATGACGCTCCTCTTTATGATCATCATACCATCAGGCATCCCCAACTCTATTCCAGCTATTCAGGTCCCTATATTCGAAAGTTTTGATGTTCTTAGAACGTGCGTCGCTATACTGAATCCTTCTGGTTACCAGTCTGGAACCCATTTAAAGGAACCCCTAAAAACGAACCCCTACCGGCCCTACCCGCTCTCTCTCCTGGAGGCCAAAGTGGAGCGGGACAGGAAGGACCGGGAGCTACGAGAGGTGGGCGCCAGAATCCCAGGGGGGGCGCACTGTTAGTATGCCCTTTCCTAAAACCTCAACCCCTAACAACTTACATTAGCCTGCAGCCCTAAACTACAGGATGGACCCATTCCCTGCCAGGTGGTCGGCTGTCACCTCGCGGACCGCGCTGAGACCAGTCGCCGCACAGAACTTTCGATGCTTCAACATCTGATGAAATCACTGCGGACAGAGCAGCACTTCGAGAAGGCCTGGGAAGTTTTCAAAGTGGTTGAAGTTTTGTATTCGATGGATCGACGCCAAGTCTCAGAGGCGGAGCTTGTAAATCAGGAAATCGAAGGCCGGGAGAGGCAACTGCGGCTGGAGCAACTCCTCCGCCAGAACGCCGATCCGAACGCTCCAGACCGGGACGGCAGCACAGCCCTCTTGTGCGCTGCAGCCGCAGGACACCCGGAGCTGATTCAGCCCTTGCTGGATGCCGGAGCCCAGCTGGAGGTCTGCAACAGGATCGGCGCTACAGCCCTCCTAAGTGCTGCGGAAGAGGGCCACCTAGAATTTGTCGAGGCATTGGTGAAGGCTCGGGCCCAGCTGGAGGCCCGCAACGAGCACGGCGACACAGCCCTCCTTGTCGCTGCACACAACGGCCACTTGAAAGTGGTCGAAGCCTTGCTGAAGGCCGGGGCCCAGGTGGAGGCCCGCGATCAGATTGGCTTCACAGCCCTCCTTGTCGCTGCAAATAAAAACCGGCTGAAAGTAGTCGAGGCGTTGGTAGACGCCGGCGCCCAGCTGGAGGCTCGGAATGAGCAAGGAGAGACAGCCCTCATGGTCGCTTCAATCATGGACCACTTGCAGGTGGTTCAGGTCTTGGTGAAGGCCGGAGCCCAGCTGGAGGGCCGCGATGAGGATGGCTACACGGCCCTCATGCTCGCTGCATACAGTGGCTACCAGGACGTGGTCGAGGTCTTGGTGAAGGCTGGAGCCCAGCTGGAGGCCCGCGATAAAGATGGCAACACGGCCCTCATCCTCGCTTCAAGGACAGGCCACCTGGAGGTGGTTCAAGTCTTGGTGAAGGCCGGAGCCCAGCTGGAGGCTCATAATAATGATGGCAACACGGCCCTCATTGCCGCTTCAATGTTGGGTCGCTTGAAGGTGGTTCAGATCTTGGTGAAGGCCGGAGCCCAGCTGGAGGCTCGTGATAATGATGGCAACAAGGCCCTCATGGTCGCTTCAGTCTCTGGCCACTTGAAGGTGGTCGAAGTCTTGAGGAAGGCTGGAGCCGTAGCATAACCCGGTGCTAATCCGTGTGTGCCTTCGGAGAAAAGCGGTGTGCACGTTCTGGAGAATGGAGCTTGCCAGTTGCCAGTCAGAGTGGTCCCGAAGGTAAGAACTTTGTCTCCCATGCTCACGCGCATGCCGCGAGGCCTCTCCGTCTCTCCGTCTGTCGCTGCAGTCCGAGGTCGAGAGAACTTCAGACCCACGGCCTGGCACAGTTACTAGGCTCAAGCTTAATATTGATAATAGTAATTCGTATACTAGTACTAATAGTAGTAATATTAACAGTATTACTGGTATTCATGATTAAGATTACATCATATTGGCTCCATGTGTTTGTACATCCAACCTGTAGGAAACCGCTGCAACCTCATGAAGTTGTCGATCAAACCCTACCAAACCCGCGTGGAATAGTTTAAAGCATAGATCCCAAAGCACCCTATGAAAACCCCATATGGGGGTCCTTATAACTACTCAGGCTACTATTTTACGGTCCCCTATTTCTGAAAACTGCCATACTAGACCCCATAGAGAAGCACTACTAAACCCTAGACCCTAAACCTAAACCCTAAACCCTAAACCCCAAGCCTAGACCCTAAACCGACAACCCGAAGCTTCCAAAAGGGGAGGTTCCCGACCCGGCGCAGCGGAATCCATTCCAGATCCACGTGCCGACCTCGTGATTCGAGCCCAGTAATGTTCATTACGTTGCCTGTTTTTCCTTTTTAAGGGTTCTCTAAGGGCTTTCTGCAAGAGTTCTGTGAGGATTCTGTAAGGATTGCTTTTGGGTTTACATAGGGTGCGTTGGTGTTTTTTCTGCTCTAGAGCCTGGGGGTTCAAGTAGTCCTGATGTATAGCTATTGGAACCCAAAATGGACCCAAAGTCCTATAACAGGGAGTACTTCGGTTGATGATATAAATCCTGCATTACCTTAATGACATTAGACTATGGGAATTATGGTATATTCCTTATTATGGGTCATGCAGGATTTTTATCATCAACCCTAAACCCTAAAACCCTATAGATCCCTTAAAGGAGCCCCTTAAAGGTACCCTTATAGATCCCTTTAAAGGAACCCTAGGATGATCCTTAGAGGAAGTTGTGCGGACCTGGGTTTGGGTTGAAGGGTTGCAGCGCGACCGGCTCTGAGACCTCCAAGGCTGAAGGTTTCGCGGTTTAAGGGTTTAGGGTTTAGGGTTTAGGGTTTAGGGTTTAGGGTTTAGGGTTTAGGGTTTAGGGGCTTTTGGGCGTTTTGGGGGAATCCTACGAAAGGTTAGGTACTGCCCCCATACAGTAAGAGTCTATATAGTAGGGCTACTATTAAGGTCCCAAATTATCTAGATTATGAATATGATTCAAATATTACTGAGTGGGGGCCGTACCCAAACTATAGGGGCTTTAGTAATTTCCTATACTATTTTGGGGGTTCCTTATTATAATTATAGTATAATGGGCCCCAAAACCCTATTCGAACTATTAAGGCCCCTATACTAAACCCTCGGCTTTTCAACATATTTAGGTGGCCTGCGACGGGCCTTTTTGAACGCCTGAAGCGGAAAACCAGTCTCCCTCGAGAAGCGAGCCGCCAAGACGAAGATGACTCCCTCACCTTAGAAGGGGCCCCCACCCTGTAATAAATGGGATAATAGGAATGTAATAGGGCCCTAATATAATCCTTAAAGTCACTATTACAGGGTGGGGGCAGCTTCTAACCCTCCCCTTACGTTTCACAAGCTTCTTGAAGACTCCTTGACCTAGGCCCTAAACCCTCTACTCTGCCTCTCAACTAAGCAGAGACGTGTTTTTTTTTGTTTTGTGTGTGTTTTTTTGTGGTTGCTGCTGCGACTAAAGCAATGATGGCAACCACAGCGAGGTCCTGCTGCTGATGATGGTATGCGGATGGTGTCGAGCACGGTGATGCTAATGATGGTGCTGCCGCGACAGGTGACGATGCTTGTGATGACAAGCTTGATGGCGATGATAGCGATGGAGCTGATACTCGGAGGATTCCAGTGTTCGCAAACTTGCTGCAAACCAGCAGGTGGCTCTCGTGAGGCAGTTGGCCTTTTCGTTTCCGAGTTAAGGGACACCTAAACCCCAAACCCCCCAACCCCAAACCCCTAAACCCTAAACCGTTAAGCCCTCAAACCCTAAACCCCAAACCCCTAAACCCCAAACCCCAAACTCCTAAACCCTAAACCCCAAACCCCTAAGCCCTTTTTGCTTTCCGAGGTTTGGTGGGGCCGCTTGGCCATGTGCCGAATGCGGTGGCGCCTTTTCAGGTCCGGCTGGGACGTGGCCAGGGTTTAGTTAAGGTTTGAGGGTCTGGGGGTTAGGGTTTGGGGTTTAGGGGTTACTTAGAAATAATTGTTCATTTTTGGTTATTATAATCCCTAAGAAACAGCTAGAATTATAGTTTGAAACGTTGCGCGTCGCCCGCCTCGGCCCGGCTGCACACGCATGTGCCAAATAATTCTCATGCCTGATATTCGACATACCCCCTAGCTGATCTCCGATGCCCGCAATCCGCCAAAGGGTTAACTCGTGGAGCCCTGCACCGTAGTGCTTAAAGCCTTCAATGCCAAATGTCCGAACCTGTAAGTTTTGTGGCAAGTTTCAGTTTCTGAACCCTGTACCGTGGCTTTTGCGGGAACGACCGCTGCCGGTTTGGGGCGCGGAAGGACGGGGGACGGGAGGGGGGGGGGAGGGGAGGGGGAAGGGGGGTGGGACCGCCTACAGAAAGCCAAAATCCATTGGAGAAGGCGAGAATTCACCGCCGGACCTTGGCGCTCATCGACACGTTTCCATTTTTTAGGGGGGGGGGGGGGGGGGGGGGGTGGCCCAGATTTTGGGTCACTGGGGAGGGGACAAAGAGGTGGGGAATAGAGGAAATCCGAATAGGAACCTCTGACCGCTTCGGCCTGGGCCGAGGCGAATTTTTGCTAGGGTTCTTAGTTCAGTGTAGGTTTAGGGTTTGGGATGTCCAGCAATGTTTAGGGATGTCGAGGGGTTAGGGGTTTAGGGTGGGGTTTCAGAGGTTTAGGGTTTTAGGGTAGGGTTTTAGAGGTTTAGGGTTTAAGGTTTTAGGGGTTTAGGGTAGGGTTTCAGAGGTTTAGGGTTTTAGGGTTGTAGGCTTTAGGGTTTCACAGGTTTAGGGTTTTAGGGTTGTAGGGTTTAGGGGTTATAGAGGTTTAGTTTAAAGGTTTACGGCTTTAGAGGTTTAGGGTTTCAGGGTTTAGGGTTGTAGGGTTTAGGGCTTTGAAAGGTTTACGGGTTTAGGGTTCTAGGGTTTAACGTGGTCTACGGTCTACTGACTATCTTCGGACGCTCGAGCAGCTGCATGTCCCACAGAGCCGCTGGCATTGCTCTCAAGCAACTCTGCGCTTGGTGTATCCAAAGTTCCATATACTTCCATATACTCTTCCATAGGATTATGGCGTGATGGTGCGCTTCACCTTGCCAGCACTTGCGGCCTTTGCAGCAGCACTCCGTGTCGCAGTGGGGCTCAGATCGGAGCACCATCCGGTGTTGTGGCAAGAGCACCCAACGAGCTCGGCCGAGCAGATTCAGGAGCTGCTGACGAGCAGCTTGGCGGCGGCCGCAGCCGAAGTGGAGAGCAGCAGGGAAGAGCCCGGCGATGCCGAGGCACAGGAGCGGACGCTTAGAGAGCGGATTGCCCGCATCAGGGAGGGCTGGCGGGGCACCAGCGCAAGCGTTTGCCATCAGCAGCTGGGGCGCTTGATGAACAATCTCACCCTTGCTTGTGAGAACTTGCCGACGAAAGCCGACTGGCTTCTCGACTACCTTCCGGACTCCTACATTCTCCCTAACAAGACCTGTGCGGACAGCGTCAGTGACATCTTCGCATTGGGGAGCGATCTCGTGGAGACGCTCCGCGTTTCCAGAGATGCTGTAGCCTCTCTCCATGTGGACAGCAAAGCCCTCCTTCGATACCAGGCGCTCTCCTTTCTGAGGAGCTGGCTGGTGAACTTGACCGAGACTCGTCATCATGCGCTACTTTGGGCCGGCTTCTGGGACGGGGACCCCAAGAAACGCACGACCATGACGACGCTCTCCAACTTTGCCAAAGCAACAGAGCACGCAACCGTCCATCCGGACAGCTTCTTGGGCCAAGCCATCGAGGCGAGCCAGGTCCTGGATGCCTGCTACGAAGATGCTCAGACCAGTGTGCTTGCAGGGAACATGTGGTCCATCGCAAGCATGAGCTTCGTGCTCGGGATGCGCGAAAGGGCACAGGGAACGGTCATCGCACTGGTCAACAAGCAGATCACGGGCGAGCGTAACTTGTCAGAGTCCGTGCTGTCCACGCATGAAATCCCGACACTGGGGCTCGCCGCCTGGGGCCTCGGGTTCTGGTCTCCGGAAGTGCTGGTCGTGGACCTCATGGGCACCTGTGAGCAGACAAGCCCTGCGCTGCAGAAGCGGCTTCTCGCCCGCCTGCCCTCTTGGGCCAAGTCCATGACGAACTGGAGCCCAGAAGCCTTTGCGATGAGGTCGCGGCTCCGGTGGCAGTGCATCGACTGCTCGGGCGCTTGCAGCCTGGACGAGGCCTTCGCAAGGCAGGTGGAGAAGCTGGTGAAGGCCCCCTGTGCAGAGACAAGCTGTGCATTTGTTTCTGTAATATGGTGGCGTAAATAATTGCTACCAACATCATTTTTCAGGGCTGCTTGTCACATCTTGTCATGTGCCATAACCTTCAAACCCTATTCGAGCAAGTCAGGCCCCTACATTGGGTTTTGAATGTTTGCTCGCAGAGGCCAAGGTGATACTGAACCCTTATGGTTACCAGTATGGAACCCATTTGGGTGGCTGTCAAAATAACGGTCCCTTTTTGGGTACCCTAAATATTAGGTGCCGTACGACAATAAGGACCCAAAGCGGGACCCGAATTTTGACAACCACCCATTTCAAGGAACCCTAAACCCTAAACCCTAAACCCCTAAACCCTAAACCCCTAAAACCCCAGAACCCTAAACCCTAAACCCTAAAGTCATGGCCGCGAGCGCGACCTAGTCGTGAAGCGGCCCGCGATCGATCAGAGAGCCGCTTAGGCACATCACTGCAGAGGGTGAAGCCTCTGCAGCCTCTCATCCTCGGCAATCACCCACTGACGACTCCCTATAATGCTCAGACCCTAAAACTTCATACCCAAGTCGTTTGTGGCACCTAAAACGCTAATCCCCAATTTCCCAAAACGCTAAGCCGCTAAAATCCTGAAACGCTAAATCGCTAAAATCCTAAAATGCTAAGCCGCTAAAATCCTAAAACGCTAAACCGCTAAACTCCTAAAATGCTAAGCCGCTAATATCCTCAAATGCTATAAGCCGCTAAAAACCTAAAACGCTAAGCCGCTAAAAGACTAAAACGCTAAGCCGCTAAAACGCTAAATCGCTAAAATCCTTCAACGCTAATTCGCTAAAATCCTAAAACGCTAAGCCGCTAAAACACTAAAACGCTAAGCCGCTAAAACGCTATATCGCTAAAAACCTAAAACGCATTCCCTAAAATCCTAAAACGCTAAATCGCTAAAATCCTAAAACGCTCAGCCGCTAAAATCCTAAAACACTAATTCGCTAAAATCTTAAAGCGCTATAAGCCGCTAATATCCTAAAACGCTAAGCCGCTAAAATCCTAAAACGCTAAGCCGCCAAAACACTAAATCGCTAAAATCCTAAAATGCTAAGCCGCTAAAATCCTGAAACGCTAATTCGCTAAAATCCTCAAGCGCTGAGCCGCTACAATCCTAAAACGCTAAGCTGCTAAAATGCCATCCACTAAAATCCTGGCACGCTAAGTTCTAAAATCCTAGAATGCTGAGCTGCTAAAATTCTCCAATCCCACTTGGCAGGGCGTGTGGGTTAGTATGCACTTACATACTTTATTAAGTAGATACAGAAGTTACAGCATATAGGTAACTACAACATAGCATGTCTTATAAGTCCACATATCGTAACTGAGTTATCGGACTTAGCTAAGTGCACATAGAAGATGTAGATAACAACATTTCCATAGAATGAATGTGTACATAAACACCGTCGTGCAGGGCAAAATTGCTCGCAGGCAGGTGCAAAATCATGTTTTTTCTAGGTGCATGCACTCCATCAAGGCACAACCCTGACTCTGCCAGGGCCTTCGGGCACATACAGGCATGCAGACTGAATGCCCGATGAGGCCACGAAACGAGCCCCCTCCGCATTCTGCTGGTACATGTTTCGACCAAGCCCAGCAAACGGCTGCAGCAAAGTGACAAGGTCGCCGGAGCCGAGTCGTGCATGCAACCACACTTCGGCTACATCACCGGACTTCAGCTTAACAAAGTCAGCTTTGTGCACAATGCAGCCAGGTGAAACCTGAGCTGCAAAAGCCCCCTGAGCTTGGCCCACGGACTCGGCCCCGAAAGCACTCACCAAACTCGCCATGAGAAGAGGGCTCGCAGGCTTGGGGGAGATCAAATGCGGCTGCACAAGTCCGGTGCTGCCTTCCATTGCTAAGAGGAACCGGCCGAGCACATCCTTCATGATGGCATCCTCGAAACCCTTGGTAGGGTTTTTGATGTGGTCTGCAAAGTTTTTTACCTCCTTGTGTTTCCTCTCGTGCGTAAAGCACGACACGAGGTCCTTGGTTGCAGCCATGCTGCCCAAGTGTTGGGCATAGTGGAACTTCGGAGTGATGTGGTCTTCGCCGTGTGCTGTTTTGAAGGCTTGGCAATGCTGGTGTATGGCTCCTTCCAAACCACGACTGGCATCACTTTCGCCACGATTGATGGACAAAAGAATGTCCAAGACAATGCACAACTTCAAGAAAGACTTGACGGCCAACTTGAGTGCATCGTTCATGCTAGACACATCCAAGCTCAGCAGAAACATCCGCACCAAAGGATAGGCATTGAGCCCTTGCGAGGCTGACGACTTGAACTCGTTCGGCGAGGTTTTCTTTTTGAAAAGCTGCAATGTCTCATTGATTCTACCACGAAGGTTCTGGGGCCATTGGATCTGCATCATGTAAGCCAACAAAGTCTCCGCCGAATGACCGGCACTGTACAACAGGGGCAGCAATAAGCCCATTTCTGTTTGCCCCAGGCCCGTCACGAGAAACACGTGCATCCAGTCAAACATTAACGACTGCACGAGTGGCATGGACCGATAATGCAGGACTCCATTGGGGTTGCAGTTGAGACCCAAGGATTGTTCCAATCGAGTATAATCCTTCTTCGACAACGTCGCCTGCCGCCTTTCCAGTAGCTCGTGTGCCCGAAAGATTTCAGCATCTGCCCGGAGGACGAAATCGTTCGGATCCGTGCAGGATATGCTCCTTAAAGTGCCAGTCGCATCGTAATCTTCAGCAGCACTGATTCTGCTGATGATGTTGGAGCACAGGGGACACGGCAGGGTCCCCGATAAAAACAAACTTCAGAGCTGATTCGTCGCCCAGCATAGTTCCCAACTTTGCGAAAAACATGCATCTCTGCCCATCGGGCATCGTCAACATGCAGCCAGTGCTCAGAGCTTTCACAGGGCCTGAACTGATCAGGTCGTGGGTGAGGCCTGAAAGTCCTCCTAGCAGCTGGTTCACCACAGAACTCCTTGCCAGGGACAAGCAAAACCAGAAGCTTTCCCGGGACCTTGCTTCGGCGCCAAACTGGTCAAAGGTCACATAGAACCCGTGTATTTTCCTGCTATTGGAAACTTTGAGTTGGTTGCCAGGACTTATCTCGTCCGAATAGAGTGTCATGGTCCATGCACGATCTGGCCCATTCGGGTGCACGTGCATCCTCTTCTGGAAGAAGGTTGCGAACTGGGGAAGGTCGTTGCACAAATGCCACAAAAAAGCAGGCAGATTCAACACTGGCAGATTCACCTGAGACTCGTCCTTTTGCAACTTCACGGCGATATGTGTGATCAACGAACCGTGAGGAGTTTGCATGTCGATGTGCTCATCCCTGGCCCGCTTGATAGTTCTTCTGGACCCAGCATCCGGAAGAGGGGTTTCCTTCAGTTCCTTCAACACTGCCTCCAGAGCACTCTGGGAGACATAGTGCTTTCGGCCCAATGCAGCCAAAGCCATCTTTATAGATCCTGCTCGCGAGCTTAAGAAAGCCCTGCAAGCGAAATAAGAATCATATTCGAGATACTCGCAATCAGTCCTACATACAGATCTGAAAGTGTACGGCTATATACAGAAACGATTCTATAGAATAAGTTAGCAGTGCATCATGGCATGGAACACGCAGCCTCGAGGTCGACATAACCTCACAAGTGAAGCCACTGCAGACTGATGTGCAAAACGGCACTGGCACAAAAGAGCTGGCAACATGTCGGATCATCTGAGGTGTGTGTCGCAGATAACGATGCACCTTCTTTTTCTCGCAGCAGAAACACGTGTTCCGTGGGTTCTTTAATTGCATATAGTGCAGAACATAAATGCATCCAGACCCCGTTCATGGAGCATGCATGGCCTACATACAACTCGTGAGCATGGCTGTGAACATTCGGCACAGCAGTGGCATTGCTCCTGCATTAGCATACTACTTTACATAGCAACACGGCCGGCAGCCAGGGCTCCAGCGACACTTCGAGCAACCATGTGATCGCAGGGCCAATCTCTTCTTCATCGGCAAGTTGGCATAGTACTCCCGTGTGCCGGTCGCTGGGTTCGCCATGGCCTTTGCCTTTGCCATGGCGGGCTTCTTCATCACCTTGGTGCTGTTGCCCTTGCCCCCCTTGCCATTGCCCTTCTTGCCGACGGTCTTGTCGCCATTCGTGCCCTTCTTGCCCTTGCCCTTGCCCTTCGTTTTCTTGGCGCCTTTCCCCTTGCCCTTTGCACTGCCATTCTTGAAAGATTCGGAGGCACGACTCCTCTCACCCTTCTTCTCGTCCAAGGCATCTGACACAAGGGCGGCAGCGGCAAGGATCCCGTCATCGTCCAGCTCCGTCTGAACCTTTTGAGGATCCTGAGGGACGGTTGCGGTCTCACGACTCGGCGACTGCAGGGCAACCTGTGATGGCTGCTGCACACCAGCAGTGCAAGCTGCATTTTGACCACTGGTACTGGAGGACGATGTGGCAAGAGCTTGCTGCTGAACATTGGCAGTTGCCTGTGATGCCTGCTGCGATTGTCCGGGCCTGAAAATCTGTAGGTTCGACAAAAGCTGATCGGGATTGGATGTTTGCATCATCTGCTGCATGCATTGCATGCCTCGAAGCCAGCCCATCATTGTCATGCCCGAAGAAGGGTCTGGCATCGATCCCATGCCCATGGGATTTGACCAGGGCTGCTGCATGGGCATGGTCTGCATGAAGCCTCCCGTGCCAGAGTTCTTGACCCTCTTGTCAGAGCCTCGGATGACGAGCTGCCCAGAAGCCTTGTGCACATCGGCAGGAGAAAGGCTTTGGGGTGAGCATGCGGGGTCGTCTGCATCGTAGGCTGGAGTGCGAAGCTCAGCAGGAAGTTCCTCCACGGAGCCGGGGTAGTGGAGCAAATGGATTCCATTTCTGCCCACTTGCTTGGCCTTCTGCTTCAATATCTTCTTGAAAGTCACACTATGTGCATAGGATTCAGAAGGCGATCCCAAATTGGCCCCGTGTGCCATTCCTGCTGCGAGAATGGCTCGGACTGAAGGCTCGCTTGGGCACACCAAACGAAGTCTGCAGCACCTGCTTGCGAGGCATTCCAGCTTCATTGTGTTGTTGCATTGACCACCCAAAATCTCAATGTCCTTCACTGACAAGAAGTGTTCGAAACTGCTGAGGTGTTGCATGCCTCGCTTGTCTGTTGCAGCATTGCTCTGGTTCGAAACGACGGCAGCAACTGCTTCGGAGAACCTCTGGCTCTGTGCCTGTGTCCAAGGGCCTTGCTGCCAAGCATTCACCAAGGCTGTGCCATCCTGTGGCTTCAGCCTCATGCTTTGAACCCGCTGGATGAGGGCCAGGACCTGCCCTTCACGAACAGAGTCGTAATTGCCAGCATCCTTCATCGTCGCCAAGAAGCCTGCGATTGCCTGCAGATCCGCCACCACTTGGTCCGTCTGTGTGGCAGTCGCCATGCTGTGCCGGCTCCGAAAGGTGTGAGTTGCTACAAAAGCTCAAGAAAAGGCTGCTGTCACAAACGACACCCACCTTTGCATGCAAATCAAGCTGCTCCTTTCACTGCCTGCGAGCATTAAGCCCTGCATGGCGATTTCGTCGCTGGTCGTCGTCTTTGTGCATGCACGATGAGTAAACAATGTGCAGGTGGTATATGCAGCATACACCCAGATCCTTTGGCAATGGCCTGCCTGCCATGTCGTTGGTCCCAAGAACGAAAATCTGCATGTGCCATCGGTGCATGATTATTTTGTACTTGGCCAAATATAGGCACGTGCACAAAGCATGTGTGCATGCTTCTGCTGTTGCTGTTGCTTTGTTTTGTTCGCATGATTCCTCATGTGACATCGGGCATGCATGTATATATGTGTTGCCATGCTGTCGTGCTCTCTCTCCCTCTCAAGTCTCTATTCTCTCTCCCTCTCCCTCTGTGCATGACACCGCAAATGCAGTCCCGACGTGCTCGCATGCAGGTGACATGTTTTCCTTCCTTTCCAAACAAACACTTCAAAAGTAGTGGGTGAGACGGATCCTGAGGCAGAGAGCCAATTTCAGGCGGCCTCGACAAAAGGCCGCAAGTTGTACACCAGGGCTCACCAAGTGGAAAGGCATCGGGGAAATCGGCATGTGAAAGCTTTGTTGGATGCGAAGGTTTTGTAAGTTTTGCATGTCAGCACGTGCTGGTTTCCCAAAAGGTCAAGCCGGTGCCCTTCAGAGCAGTATAGTATATAGTATAGTGTAGCATATATAGTATATAAAGTATATAATATGGTATATATAGTATAGAATATATGTAGTATATAGTATATACAGTATATATAGAGTATATATAGTATAGTATATATATATATAGTTATAATATAAAGTATAGTAGTATAGTATTTTCAGTAATAGTAGTAGTAGTAGTAGTAGTAGTAGTAGTAGTAGCAGTAGTAGTAGCAGCAGTAGTAGTAGTAGTAGTAGTAGTAGTAGTAGTAGTAGTAGTATAAGTAGTAGTAGTATAGTATTAGTAGTAGTATATAGTACTAGTAGTAGTAGTAGTAGTAGTAGTAGTAGTAGTAGTAGTAGTAGTAGTAGTAGTAGTAGTAGTAGTAGTAGTAGTAGTAGTAGTAGTATAGTAGCAAGAGTAAGAGTAATAGTACTATAGTAATGTTTATTATAGTAATAATAATAATAATAATATAATCCTATAGTACTATTAGTAGTAGTCGTAGTAGTCGTAGTAGTAGTAGTAGTAGTAGTAGTATAGTACTAGTAATAGTAGTAGTAATATAGTATAGTATACTAGTAGTAGTAGTAGTAGTAGTAGTAGTAGTAGTAGTAGTAGTAGTAGTAGTAGTAGTGGTAGTAGTATAGTGGTATAGTATAGTATAGTAGTCGTAGTATAGTAGTAGCACTATAGTCGCAGTAGCAGCAGCAGTAGCAGTATATAGTGGTAGCAGTAGCAGCAGCATATAGGGGTAGTACTATATATAGTATATAGTATATAGTATATAGTATATAGTAGTAGTAGTAGTAGTAGTAGTAGTAGTAGTAGTAGTAGTAGTAGTAGTAGTAGTAGTAGTAGTAGTAGTAGTAGTAGTAGTAGTAGTAGTAGTAGTAGTGGTAGTAGTAGTAGTAGTAGTAGTATTATTAATAGTAGTAGTAGTAGTAGGAGTGGTAGCAGAAGTATAGTATAAGGAGCAATAGTATAGTAGTAGTAGTAGTAGTAGTAGTAGTAGTAGTAGTAGTAGTAGTAGTAGTAGTAGTAGTAGTAGTAGTAGTAGTAGTAGTAGTCGTAGTAGTAGTAGTAGTAGTAGTAATAGTAGTAGTAGTCGTAGTCGTAGTCGTAGTAGTATAGTATACTAGTAGTACAATAGTACTATTAGTAGTATACTAGTAGTAGTAGTAGTAGTAGTAGTAGTAGTAGTAGTAGTAGTAGTAGTAGTAGTAGTAGTAGTAGTATAGTATATCGTATAGTAGCAAAAAAGAGAGTAGTGTAGCAGTGGTATATATAATGTATTGTACAGTTATTTAGTACTACAATACTTAAATTTTGCATATCATATATAGCCCTCTTAGACCACACTAGCATGCGGGACACCGGCCAGTCCCTTTCACTTGGAGCCCGCCACGGTTCCATCTCAGCACGGCCAAGCAGGGAGTCCTGCATGCGGCCGGCAAATGTTCGGTGAGTTTGTTGACAGCAGACGAAGCACGACCCAGGATGCACAGCCCAGTCCAGCCTCCGAGGCAGCATCACGAGGCCGCTTGGATATTGCATCCTGTCAATATTCGAGTGATTCATCCTTATGCAGGGTAGCTCTCTTAGCAGTGCACAGGACACTTCGGGCGGACCAGCAGCACAAGTGCTGAAACCCAAAGTGTATCGATTGATAAACCCTGTGGTCTTGGAAACACCAGGATTTATAGATTCACAAACCCTGGGCCCCACAAGAATTAGAACCTATAAAACCCGTGGTTCCCGGATCAGCAGGGTTTATCGATTGATAAACTCTGGTGTTTTTAGAACACCAGAGTTTATCAATTGATAAACCTTGCTGTTTTCTAAATACCAACCATTGGAAGCAGCACCCACCTTGCTTGACCAGGAACAGCTCATCGCATGTGCCGCCTGGGTGCATATAGGCATGGAGGGTTCGTTGCAAAGGACGGCCGCCGAGCCGCCGACCCTGCTCATCCTCGTCGCTGCCTCTTCCGGTAGGTCCATTCCTGGTCCCACCACGAGTCCTGCAAAAGGCACACAGAAGCCGAACACCACAATGACCATGGCACATCCTCCTCCGCCGGCGGTGCCCTGGAAGAGCTGGATCCCGAGCCCTGCACGTCGGGGCCCAAAGCAAAAAGAAAGGGTGCCAAGGCGGCCTGTGCATGGCCTGAGACAGCTGGCCCTGGCATGTCGAACACAGAGGCAACTGAAACAAAGGACGACTGCACTTGCAATGCCTGTCCTGAACTCGCAGCTGGTCCCGCTGCAGGGCG